GCAATTCTATGATGTCATGAAACAGAATGACCTTCTGTGATGTCACAAGTAACACAAGCCTTCTATGATGTCATGAAACAGATTGGCTGGCTGTGATGTCACAAGTAACATAAGCTACCCTGTGATGTCATGAAACAGAATAGTCTACTATCTAAAAATAGGTATGAAAAAAAGCCAATCTGTGATGTCATGAAGGAAAATGGTTACACACCAGAACAAACACTGAGGTCTAAACTGATGTTCTGTGATGTAATAATAAGCAGTTAGCTATGTTCTTGAAGAAGTCCATGGCTTCCTGTATGAACTCAAAACAACTACATGTGAAATTCCTCCACTGACCCTTTTGTTCAGAGAGATGCGTTCAGCCGACTCGCGCATGGTCTGCTTCCTGGAGATCAGCTCTGACCTCTCCATCTCCAGGCCACTGGTGAACAAATCCCTGCGAGCCATGTATGCAGCAGTGTCCCTCACCCTTGCTTCCTCTGTGTCCGAAAGTCCTGTAGCAAACTCTTGACTAGGAGTTTGTAGAGCAGAGCCAGGGATGGATTTAGGGAGTAAGGCATAGCATTAAAACTGAAATAACTTTAAAATGTTGCAAAACATTCTTGTAGCTCCATTTTTACACAGTTAAGATTTTATTACCTGCCCCTGAAGACAGGCACTACATAGCCGATGATTTGGTTCTCTTTATCCACAGCCAAGTAAGTTGGCTTGGCTCTCTTTGGTATAGGGCTCAGTCTGCTCGCGTCCAGCCCAGAATGTGAAGACACTTTAAGTCTGGGACATATAGAATACCATCAGCCTGGCACCCAGCCAGACAGTGCAGCTAATAACATAACATCAACATGTGGGAATGAAGCCAAGGTGAGGGTAGATGAGTTGTAGATTAAGGTTCAGTGGGGAAGTAGTGTAGATGGTTTAGTTTTGAATATTTAGCATTTACAGTAAGGTCGTCCTATACAAAATATGAGAACCACTAAGGTCCACTGAACACAGCCATGAATCAACAGACCCATACTATGGTAACATATCAGGGCCACAAATCTTAGAGTATACACAATATTATAGCCCAAACAATTATACAACTACAAGTATACACTACATACAGAAACCCACGGTCATACTACAATTATCTCTCTCTATGTGCTTTCTTAAGATAAATTCAGAAAAGCGGTGACAAGTTTGATTTTAGATTTTTGGTCAGACACAGTTTGTCTGTGGTAAGACTATCTGCACCACTCGGAGAGTTGGGGGTAGGAGCTCAGGGTATGAGATAGCAAGAGCATGATAAGGAGGCGGGGGCAAGAAGGGTGACAGGGCAACTGCCCTGATTTTTCCTGTATCTATCTGGGTCACTGACCCTTTAGCTCAGACCATTTACATTCTCTTAACTTTCCAGGATCAGGGCTCCAACAACTCCCATTAAAATAGATTATAATGTGAGGAGCTTCAGTGTCATTGGAGAGGTTATCTCACATAACAAATCCAATGTTCACGTCTAAGTAAATTACTTTGGATCTTTGAAATAACAACAATATCGTAAGCACCCTGATTGTTGAATCATCATCACATCATAATTCTCCTTTCCTCACCGCAGGACAGACTCTGTGGCTGGTGGGTTGCCCAGCAGTGGGTGTAAAGGCAAAGATCAGATGGTGTTAGTAAAACCTAAGCCCTCTGACCTGTTCACACTGTCCAGGCCAGTGTATTTAAAGATTTGCCAGGCAATGTAAAAGATAGGAACACCATTAACTGGGTGTTTTGTTATTCCTCCTGACAAATGGTACTCCTGACTAAAGGAAGTGACACATGATCGCACGGTTTGGAGAATCAGCTATAAAACCAAAATACAGTTACAGTACAGTATTTGTTCACTCTTTCCTTTCCAAAAAATTATACTTATTTCCATAATATATTACTCAAACTGATTAAAACTAACTTGTCTCATGTATATTGTATATTAAAAACACCAGACAGCTGACCAATGCACCATTCAACAGGGACCACACACATCTGGGCAACAAAAACGACCACTAATAAACAACAATTCTCCTCATGTCTATTTAAAATAAAGTGAAGCAGCTATATTTCCAAGACATAATAATTCATGTGAATACTACCAGGATTTAAATATATTAAATTCACAACACAGAGGTTCAGATTTCAAGACTGACAAACTGCCACTTGTTACTTTCCCTCCAATATGGTATGCACAGGTCAATATTCTATTTCAGTCTATGCCATATACCATAACTCAGCCGTTAGATAACATTTCCATACCGCTTATCTAACAAAGGGGTTTTGCTCTGAATCATTTTAGTTATTTTGGAATAGGTGTGTTAAAGGTAAGAGTTTGTCAGCATGCATAAAAGCAAACAGGGCATCTTTCAGCCTACGTGCAGAGCTTCATGCAGGATTTAAAGCTGTTTTCAACCAGTATAAAGAGCAAAGATCCTCAGGTGTGTGTGAGGGTTGATCAGAGAGAACTCAGAGGGGGGAAGGATGGTTAGCAGGAAAGATGATCCCATAGCTGTGACAGGATCCAACAAAGGTCATGGAGGTGAACTTGATCAGTTGGATTGTGCGATGGTGTTAAGGGGAGCAGTAGGGATTTCCTGTGACAAAGATTGATGAAGGTACGATCCTCTTCCTCGTCCTTACCCACTGCTCCTGCTGGTGGCGGACATGCTGCCGCCAGCAGTATATCTGCTGCTGGACTGGTACTGGCTCACTTTAGACTCTGTCTCCTTGCTGCGGTAGCCGCGGTCATAGTGGCGATGGTGCTTCTGGTAGAACGGTATAGATCCAGACATGCTGCAGGCCGCTGCTGGTACGAGCCCTGAGTTTCTGAGTTCCTTGCTGCCTATCTGTTTGTCTGTGTGGTTAGTTAGTGTAGAGCAGGTGGATTATGATATACTGGAGGTTCATCGTGAATTTCACTGCATTTTAGACGTTACAGACTTCAACATGTTCTAAATAGTTGAACATGGATCGTTAATCTAGCTCTCAAGATAGAAAAAAATACATTCTATTAAAGCTAAAATAATATTGTGGATGAATTATGTAATCCCATAATGCAAATATAAGCATATTAAAAATAGTCTAGCCAAAAACTGCATATTTCCTTGTTAAAAAAAAACCCAAATAGGAAAAAGTATTTTATGAAACCTGCAACATCAGCTAGCAAGACATGATATAAGATTCAGGCAATCAGGCACTTTCTCAGCATGCTAAGACAGACATATGCAACAACTACAACCTGGTTTATCACATCTAATCCCTGCGCAACAGTTGCCACTTACCCTGGACAAAAAGCCTCAAACTCCAAGCGTTAAAGGAAAAGATGATTCAACTCCACACTTAAAGCTCGATATCCCAGCAAACCTACAGGTAAGTGCACACAGGGCTGCGGTCTACACAACAAAAATAATATTGGCCCCTGCCACAGTGTCCAAGCAGCAGTCACAGCCTTTTATGGTGAGGGTGGAGATAAATATAGCTGAGAGCAGAGTCTGGGGGGCAAATCAGCTCCTGTAGTGCAACACATTTATGGGTGCAGGTCTCTGCCGATGAGCATTGCTGCCTCATATGCAGGTAAACACAGGCTCGCTTTTGTATTTTTTGTCCATATGTTTGGTCCAGGTTTTATCCAAATACTTTAATATTAATTAATGTAATAGGAGTTTTTTTGCCTCCTTTTTTAGGCTTATGCATGTTTTACATTTATGAAATGTAAGCCCCTTGTATGAACTGTATTTTAGAGGGAATGTATGTAATGATGTGTTTCTGTTGATACTTTTGCTTGTTTGTTTCCTATTTTGTTATTCTACAGAAGTTGATAAGTTATTCATATAATACAGTGTACATACTTTAAATCAATGTCAGAGTCCAACTTTTTCCTGAGGCTCAGTGATTCCCAGATTTCCCACGTGACAAGCTTCATTTTACAAGCTCATATTTAACTTAATTTTTTAAGTCCATTACAAACGAGAAGGTCGTGCTGGCCTTTTGCCGACAGTATGCCATCGCTGGTTAACCTCCATCAGCTTTTGTTTGTCTTGACTTTCATCACAGTCTCAGCTGTGACTGTTGCTAACTTTAGCTAAGCTATTGTTACTTGCTTCACATACAACAAATGCCAGTAAATGTGTCTTTGTCACTCTCTCCTTTGGTCTCACTCTCATTTGTGGAAGTACACAAATGTCCCCCCTTGTCCCCCTGGGTCATAAACAGCTACTAAAAGAGAAAACATATAATAAATCAAGAACTCAGAATCCAATGGCAGGTTTTTAATTACCACTTAAGTTTGTCTGTATGACTCATAAACATGGGTTTCCAAAAGTTATCATGAAAAGAAAAGACTTTTCTAATTAAATACAGTTTGTTAAAGGCCATTTGGCAGGTAGATTTAATTTGGCTGCCACAGATGTTTGGACATTGTTCTGGAAATTGACTGCAACACAAACACCTGGTAACTTTCCATGTCAAAAATATGTCAATGAAGACCTTTGAGGCCTTTGAATGTACGCCCTTTTTGGCCCTCACCCACCACTTTCCCACATGACACAACGGTCAGCATGGCAACATACCTAAAAAGTTATGGCAACGATCTCAAGTGTAAACCCATTAAAAGAGATCAACACTGAGGTGAACAATACAAGACATTAAGCAGGGTCACAACACTGAATGCTGTCTAATGAATATGGGATATATTTTACATTTATAATATGCCACTAAATCATTTGCCAACATGACTGACTTGAACCTAACAGCTTCTTACAGTCACTTGCTGGAGTGTCCGGTTGACTCTCAAGTCTTAAATGCTGTAATTCAAGTCCATTTTAACTGTAATTGTACTCAAAGGAATAGCTTAACGTTATAAGCGTATCATTATAATTTGATACGCTTATTTGATTTCTTGCAAGAAATAAGACGAGAATGTTGATACCAATCTTCATGTCTATACGGTAAATACGAATTTACAGGTTGTAATTAGGGACTGCTTCTCAAAGATACCCCTCCAGCACAACAGGCCTCAGAGTTAGCTGTAAAACCATCTAACAGCAGGATGAGTGGATGGTCCAGACTTCCTTTTTGACTGCCTCAGCAACACTCTGCTCTGGTGGTGAGGAGCAAGAAACAGAAGACGACCTAATTCCTCGTCATACTGACTTCTAAGAAAGTCAAAACTTCTAAGAGACATTCTCAGCTTTGTGCCGGTGAAGGCTGCATGGCTAGTACACCACACACACA